CGGCACTGCCCCAGCTCAGTCTGCCCAGCCCTACCCCACACCACCCAGCCCACCCCGGCACTGCCCCAGCTCAGTCTGCCCAGCCCTACCCCACACCACCCAGCCCACCCCGGCACTGCCCCTGCTCAGTCTGCCCAGCCCTACCCCACACCACCCATCCCATCCCGGCACTGCCCCAGCTCAGTCTGCCCAGCCCTACCCCACACTGCCGAGCCCACCCCGGCGCTGCCCCAGCTCAGTCTGCCCAGCCCTACCCCACACCACCCAGCCGATCCCGGCACTGCCCCAGCTCAGTCTGCCCAGCCCTACCCCACACCACCCAGCCCACCCCGGCACTGCCCCAGCTCAGTCTGCCCAGCCCTACCCCACACTGCCCAGAGCAGCGCTAAGATCCATGGCCCTGTATTTGAAAGGCTGAAGTAAACTGAAATATAGAAACTTAAAAGTCACTTGTAAATTCCCTGTTAACAAGAACATAAGAACAGCCATACTGGGTCAGCTCAATGGTCCATCTAACACACCCATTGCACAACACACTGCCCCACACTACCCAGCGCAGCACTAATACTATCTGTCTATCCTCATACACCCCTCTATCTATCTATCTATCTATCTCCTTTGTAGCCTATGTTAATTAGAAATTAGGACTTTGCCTAACCCTTTCCCCAAGCTTCTACTCCCACTCTGCCTCTTCCAGCCCCCACTGCTCCCCTGCCCCGCCTCTTCCCGCCCAGTTCCACCCCCTCCCCTGAGCGTGCCCCGTCCCCGCTCTTCCCCCTCCCTCCCTGTGCCTCCTGCACACCGTGGAACAGCTGATCGTGGCGTGCGGGAGGCACTGGGAGAGAGGGGGAGGAGTTGATCAGTGGGGCCGCCAGCAGATGCGAGGCACTGGGGGGGGAAGGGCGGGCGCTGGCTGCGGTGGGTGCTAAGCACCCACTAACTTTTTTTCATGGGTTCTCCAGCCCTGGAGCACCCATAGAGTTGGCGCCTATGAAAGGAACGGTTTTGCTGAATAGCAGTTAACATCCAAAGGGCACCACTAGGTCCCAGGGTTACACGGCTGTACTTCACGCTGCTGTCAGTGGTACACCCATCCATCTTTGCGTGAGAGTATAACTGCTGTGCTGCAATCACATGCCATCTTACTGAAAAGGAAAACCATTAGTTAAGCAAAGTCTGGTTTTATCCCTCCAAGTGCTGCCTTGTGGCCTTCTACTGCCCACGGCTTGTCAGCGCTCCAGAGGCTCGACCCTGAAAACTAAGCTGGGTTTCATTGCACCTTCATCCCTAACAACTGGGAACATTTCAACGTAAAGGTTACAAAAGGTTGCGCCTGACACACTAACCCTCCGTCCCCATACACCTCATCTGTCAAGCCATCCGTCCCCACGTGCACACCCCAATAACAACACTGTTCCCCCACTCTGCCCTCTCCATCCCTAGAGCTCACAGCACTTTACAAGGGAGGTGGGTAGCCACTGCCTAGCCCCAGCCCATGAGGAAGGGGGCTGGGAGATAGGTCAGGCAGGGGACTGGGTTGGGCAGAGGGGCAGGGCGAGGATGAGGGCATAACCCAGCCCTGGTTCATTGCCCTGGGGCTGGTTGGTGGCCCCCCTAGGGGCTCAGGCCCAGCCCAAGGGGGCGTCGTCCACTAGCTGGCCCCTGGCTGGTCGCTTTGGCAATGAGGCCAGCACTGTTCGAGCTGCAGGCGTCCCCTACGGGGAGAGTGGAGACAGGGAGGGTCTCCCGGGGAGATGTGCTGGGGAGATCTGGACAGACAACAGTAGAAAAAACAGGTGTTTGTGCTGCTGGGTGGAGCGATCAGAGCCCGGGCCAGGGCTGGGCCGGGGCTGAGCGGGGCAGGACGGGTACAGTGAGGGTGGCTGGGCAGCTCGAGCTGCAGATTCCCAGACTGACCTACGGGTCCAGCAGTGGGCAGCTCTGGCTCTCCTGAGGGCGGGGGGCTCCGCGTGGTCCCCTCTGGCTGGGCGGCCTCCCGGGGGCTGGTGCCCTCCAGCAACGACAATGGCTTCCACTTCCCTGGAATACAGAGCATCCGGTTCAGCAGGTAGCACCCCCCACATAGAATCACAGAATATCAGGGCTGGAAGGGACCTCAAGAGGTCATCTAGTCCAACCCCCTGCTCAAAGCAGGACCAATTCCCAACTAAATCATCCCAGCCAGGGCTTTGTCAAGCCGGGCCTTAAAAACCTCCAAGGAAAGAGACTCCACCACCTCCCTAGGTAACACATTCCAGTGCTTCACCACCCTCCTAGTGAAACAGTGTTTCCTAATATCCAACCTGGATCTCCCCCACTGCAACTTGAGACCATTTCTCCTTGTTCTGTCATCTGCCACCACTCAGAACAGCCGAGCTCCAGTCCACACCATCCTCTCTGGAACCCCCCTTCAGATAGTTGAAGGCTGCTATCAAATCCCCCCTCATTCTTCTCTTCTGGAGACTAAACAATCCCAGTTCCCTCAGCCTCTCCTCATAAGTCATGTTCTCCAGACCCCTAATAA